AAAAATTATACCTTTTAATGCTAGTAATAAATCATTAATATGTACTCCATTATGTATAAATTCACCAGTATCACCACCTACATCACAACATTCTTTAATATTATAAATTAATGCATCAGAAATTTCTTTTGGATTATCTATTCCATGATTAATATCATCTTCATTGATTAAAAAAGCTAAAATTGTATAAAGAGAAGATTTTATTGGATTATTATTATCATCATCAATTAATTTAATTGATTTTAATAAAATTTCTTTTATATGTTCATCTTTTCCCATCTCAATTAAATAATCATCATCAGTTTTAATAAATATAATAAATAATTTTAATACAATCCAAATCATAAATGTTGATGTTATATCTTGTGTATTTGTAGAATCGTTTGGTTCCCAATGTAAATCATTTTTCGGATGATCATTATTTTCTATAGATTTAAGAATATTTTCATCAATTAATAATGGTAAAACAATATTAATAATCGTAAAATAATCATCTCTATGAACAAACATATTAAATTGCATATCTTGTCTTATATGAAAATCTGTTATATATTCTGTTGTTGTTTGTATTCGAATTAAATTTGAAAATATATATTTTATTGCATTACACGGAAAAATTTCTCGTGTTTCATTTGTTTCCGATGATAATAATTTATGTAATAATGATTCAAATTTTGGTAACCAAAAATTACAAAATGTATCACGACGTTCAATATTATAATATGATGGATCTGTTGCTGCATTAAAACCAGTAAATAATAACCATGCATATGTATCATTTAATCTTGTTGTATCCAATTGTTGAACAGCTTGATTATAATTATTAATAACATCCAGTGAAATATAATAATTAAATACAAGATTGTAAAGTTCAGCACCATTATATCCAATTTCATTATTTTCATTACAAGCTAATGTAAATTGATCAATAATAGAAGATAATGATAACATTATGGAATGTCTTTAACGAATAAAATAATTGATCTAAAATTTGAAATTTATTACATATATTAATACGAATAATATGAAAGAAAAATTTCGATATCTGATCTAATATTTATTTTAATTAGATTAAAATCTGTTTCACTTAAACAATCATTCTGAAAATTAAACTAACAATTATCGAAAAAGTACACTGTTTATGTGAATCGATTCAATGATTTATATTGATGTTTTTCACTGTATTTATGTTATTGGTCCTATTACAAAGTAACGAAGCATTTATTCTTGTCTACATAAATGTATACGCATGAATGAGAAATATATTACTTGTAATTGTGTACTGCGACGAAAAACGTTTGTCATCGTTTGTATATTACATATCCACATACCTATATTTCTTTTTGTTTAACATAGGGATCGATGTTTTTTTTTAATAAAATTATCAAAAAAATATGATAATAAAATATAGTAATAATATTGGTGATCGTAAATGTGAAAATTTAATTTAATTAGGTGCTTTTTTGACTAGGTGTATCTACTGACATCTATATTTAAGGATTTCGTGTTATTCAATAACACCAAAAAAAATGCAATCATTTTTCAGATACAACTTTCTTTATTCCTCTGGGAAAAATAATTTAAATGAAATAGTTATACATTTGAACTTGGAAATAAAAATCAGCAAGTTAACGAAACTACATAGTAACATTATCTAGAAAAAGGTGTAGGACTAATAATGGTATGAAAGTCGAGAACTAACTATCGAAAAATTCATCTATTTTTTTGAAGAAGATGAATTGTTTCAGAATGGATGTAATATAAAGAACAGAAAGTTCATGTTCATTATTTTGTTTTATTAAAGCTTCAAATCATCCAGATTTTCATTTATTGTATTGTGAACACATGTTTCGAGAGGTTCCTATAAAACGAAGTCTAATGGGGTTAAATTACGTAAATAAGGAATCCATGATATGGGTCGACTTCTTCCAATACACTTGTTATTTAAATTACCGTTAGGCCAAGTATAGAGGGTGTAAATATGGTTTAGCGTATAACGTTGATATACCATCCTTCTCATCTTTTTAGTTCACTTATGCAGAACTTGAAGGTTAATTTTGACTTTTATAATACTGTCAAAAAAATATTATTATTCGGATAAGAATGACCACGCAAAAAAAAAGTTTCAAATGAGTCAAGATAATATCATGATTATGAATGACATACTTATTTTGTTATCTACCTATAGTATATATAAAGTAAAAAGAATTTTATATCTTATAGTTTACTTACGAGACGCAAAGAAAAGAAAACTTAATGATCTTTTTAACAAAAGATTGTGTTGTATTAACCATAACATACTTATTATTGTAAGTTTTATTGAATATTGATAGTCGAAAGTTTTATTTGAAAATCTTTGCCTTTCTAGAATAACAACGAGCATAACATTTGGTAATAAAAAAAACAAAAAAAGAAAGATATTTTCTTTTGTTTATTTGACGTTTTCTTTTCAGGTCGCCAATTAAATTTTGATGCTCAACAAAAACAAGAAAAATGTAAGCAGAATATAAAAAGCTGTTAGCGTAATTTTTATATAAGATTATGATCAATAATATCTTATATCTTCGGATATTGTAGTCGATATTATTAATTAATGGTGGAGAAATAATGAGTGCAAATTATTATCTCTATATATCCCAATATGTTTATACTCTGGGTTTTCATTGCAGTAAGATTTTGACTTTTCTTTGTAGGTCCTACTGATCTTAAATGGGATTCTCATGGAGTAACAGTTGTTGGTAGTGATACTCCTGGGACATCATCGAATCAATTAAATAGTCCACGAGGTTTATTTTTTGATCAAAAAACACAAATTTTATATATTGCTGATCGAGATAATCATCGTGTACAACAACTATTACCAAATGGTCAAATAAAAACAATAGCTGGTGATCCAAATGGTAATTCCGGAACTAGTAATGATCGATTAAATCAACCATCAGCTATTTATGTTGATGAAAATCAAAATTTATTTATTGCTGATACGAATAATCATCGTGTACAAAAATGGGAAAAGGACTCAACAAGTGGTAGTACAGTTGCTGGTAAAACAGGAAATCCCGGTTCAGATCTACATCAATTACATAGTCCTCAAGCAATATGGGTTGATTCAGAAAATAATTTATATATTGCAGATTTAAGCAATCATCGTATAGTCAAACGGTTATCTCAATCATCAGTTGTAGTCATAGCAGGAGGAAATGGACAAGGTAATTTACCAAATCAATTGAATGATCCTGTAGGATTATATTTTGATGAATTGAATAATGATTTATATATTTCAAATTATCTTGGTCATTCAATAACAAAATGGAAAATAGGTGAACTACAAGGTACATTTATTGCTGGTAGAGTCGGTGAAAATGGTACTAGTTCAATATTATTAAATCATCCATCAACCGTAGCATTGGATAAAAATGGTAATATGTATATTGCTGATACTTATAATCATCGTATTGAATTATTTTGTAATGATGGATCTAAAGAAGGTAAAAGGATTGCTGGCATAACTGGTCAAATTGGTAACAATGATGAACACTTGAATTTTCCTCATGATTTGGCATTAGATATAGAAAAATATACTTTATATGTTGCTGATAGTGAAAACGATCGAGTACAAAAATTTACATTTATTTCATCATCATCAAAAGGTATACGAACAATTATAGAACAAAAATGGTTATTATTATTTATAACAATAAGTTTTATTCGATTTTATTGATTATGTATGTTATCAAATCATTTTTTTATTTAATAAAATATTTGAAAAAGCACATGCTTCTTTTAACTCTCCTTGGTTACTTTTAAGTGACCTGATAATGAGCGAATATTTTGTACGAAGACTTTTACAATAGAGGTCATCATTCTTGTGAATTTTCATTTTTTTAATTACTCGTGTTGGAAACAAGCAAATTATGATACTCCTCTCTATTTGATTGTGTTTTATATATTTCAATATCCAACATGGATTACATTTTATTTAGAAAATATTTGATTATCGTTATGTGACATTTATTTATATAGTTTAATTTCGTACCTACAGAAAAGTTTCACCAAATACTATAAATATTTTAACTGATAACAAAACAGTAAAAAAACTTTATTAACAATACACTTTTATTGTTAAAACAAAAAGAACAATAGTTTAATTATATTACATGATAATAGATTAGTACTATTAAATATAAATTTGATATGATATTCTTGAAAATAAATAACTGAATAATATTAATTTGATTTATTAGTTTAAAAATTACATTTAAGTAAGGGAAATTATTCCTATATCATTAATTCAACGATTTTAAGTCAATATTTATTTGTAACATGTAAAGATTGAGTAGTATAAGAGTTGCTTAACATAATAAAACATTTATTGCTATTCTTTAACAATTGAATTAGTATATATATCAACATTAGATATAGAATAATAAAACTTTTTTTGTTATTTTGTACTTTGATTCATTTATCGATTAGTTACATTTTTGTGCAACTCGAATTTTTATATTTTATTTTAAATGAATCAAATAAGTGATATAAATATTCCACAACGTGTTGTAACTAGTAAATGGATATATATTATCTTTGGAATACTTACTTTGTTCACAATAACGACAATTGTCCTTAGTGCAGTCATTTTAGGTGTTGTTGTTAATCGTTTAGATTCGAAGAATGAAACTTCTCTTAATAATAATGGTCCAATATCATTTGCAGATCAAATTAAAATTGATGAACTAATGAAACATTTACAACAGTTACAAATTATTGCTGATCGAAGTAATGGAACACGAGTAATAGCAACTGCTGGTTTCAATGATACACTCGATTATATCGTTAGTCAACTTGAACAAAATACTAATTTAATTGTTAAACGTCAATATTTTACAGTTAGAAATTTTATTATTCAAGGAACCCCACGATTACAAACTCGTATTAATGGTAACATTGTCGATCGTGTTTATATAACAGAGTTTACTCATATTCTGTTCTCACAACGAGCTGATTTTGACTCACATGTTCGAGTGGTCGTTATTCCAAATCAAGGTTGTAACGATGCTGACTGGAGTAGTGTATCAGCAGCAGATTCAGTAGCTTTAGTTATACGAGGTGTTTGCACAGATCCAGCAAAATCTGCACTAGCTGAAAAATATCGAGTAAAAGGATTACTCATTTACAATAATGGAGCAACACTTGCTAATTATCCACCAGTACAAGGAGTAAGAAATAATCTGAATACAACTATCCCAGTATTTTCTATTTCCTATACTCTTGGAATGCAATTAGTCAATGGATCGGCTGATGCTGGTGTAATGATGAATATCGATGTTAGTGATGCAAATGGTATTGGAAACATATGTGCTGATACACCAACAGGAGATAAAACAAAAACAATTGTAGTTGGATCTCATAGTGATGGTGTAGCTGCAGGAAGTGGAATTAATGATAATGGTATAAGAAATAATTTATAAAATAAATAATTATTCTTTTTCGTATTGTTTATAGGTAGTGGTACAATTGGTAATTTAATTTTAGCTCTTAATTTAGCTCGTTTATTTCAAACATCTTCGGCGAGTTATTCTACATATCCATATCGTGTTCGATTTTGTTGGTGGGGTGCCGAAGAACATGGTCTACTCGGTGCAAGATATCATGTTGAGCAGGCTTTGTTACCTTCTACTATTGAAATAGGTGAACGTTTTCAAGATTATCTATTAAATTTAAATTATGATATGTTAGCTGGTCCTAATTATCGTTTTGGTATTCATGATGATAAAACAGTTCTACCAACAACACCTACACAAGCTCTTTATGGTACGGGTCAAATTACAAATATATTTCGTCAATGGTTTAATGAACAAAACCTTCCTTGGAGCAATTCATCACTGGGTGGTGGTAGTGATTATATTCCTTTTTTAGCTGCAGGTTTAGCAGTTGGTGGAGTAAACACAGGTGCTGGAGGTAGTAAACCGGCTAGTGAACGAGATCAATATGCAGCAGTATTAGGAATAGGAAATGGAGGTATAGCTAATGCTGCTTATGATCCATGTTATCATCAACAATGTGATCGAATTACAAATATTAATCCATTTGCATATGAAAAAGTTGTTAAAGCAGCTGCTTATGCTATTGAATATTTTGGACGATTAAATGATTTAGAAAAATGGCTTTATCCACAAGGACGTATGAAAAATTATGAAAACTTTAATAGAGATCGAATATATGATTTTGGTAATGATCCTGATCTTATCTAAATTTGATTAAATACAATTTAATTAAACTTTAATTCAAATGACTTGAAAAACATTTAACAAAAATTCTTTCTTTTTATAATCAAAGTTTTATTATCATTCTATCAAATAATCTTATACGTATGTCTATTCATGAAAAAAAAAACTTTATTATAATAGGTAATAAAAGATATCTATAGTATTCAGTTTATTGATGTATTAATACGAAGAGAAAAGTTTGATATTAGTTTAATAAAAAATATAAGATTACGATTAATACTAAGAACTAAGTCTATAATGTTAAGAAAAAATTTTTTTTGTTATTGAATATTATTAAGCGATTTTGAATACTTCAATTTCACATGTAGTAAATTCACGATTGCCAGTAAACGTTTTATCACCATGTTCAGTTGTATCTGTATATGAAATTGGAAATTTTGTAAAACTTCTAGGTTGTACATTAGTTAAATTATTGTTATTTAATACCATTATATCAGCATTATCACCAAAACTAGGACCTTGTGAATGAAAATGATAAACTGCATTTAAAGTCTTAGCAGGATTAATTGGATATTTTGTAGGTGGAATATTATGAGGATTTGTTAATGTAAATAAAAATGCTTGTGTATCTTTTCTAGGACCTACATTTGTACTCCATGGGATTGATGTATAACCTCCGAAAAGAAATTTTTCAGCGAATTGAATAATAGTAATAGTACGACCTTTTCCATCACATTTTTTATGAAATGCATCGTTAGTAAAACCATCCCGTGATGCTTTATAAATTAATTCCCATTGTTGATCAGGTTTACCATAAAATTCATTTAATTTTTCTTTATGTTCATAATTTTCCAAAAGAGTACTACCAGGAAATGTTGGTTTTGCTAAGAGATTTATTAGTTTTTGTAAACGAAAAAAATTTGCTTCCATAACAAGATTTTGTCGAAGTGTTTCATCAGTTTTAATATTATTTGATATTGTACCTGATCTTAAATATTCAAGAATATGAGTAAAAAGTTTACCATTACGATCAATAAAAATACTATCATCTTTCGGATCACGTTCAGCTTGCCATTGACGTGCAAAAAGATCTGTAAAGAAAGTATTTTGTTCACGTGCTGTTAATGTATCAATTGAAGTCGTATATTTTTCACCACCAACATCGAGTATGACTTTACTAGAGGCCATCAGTTTATGTTCTACCTTTTTTTACAATGAAATAGATTTTTTTGTCTTTACTTATAGATGCGTAAATGCAGTATGTTTACCGTTTTTGCTCTAAAAATCGAAAAACAATATTATAAATAATCGATTATTCGCCAGTTATCATTTGCGCATTATATATCCTACCCTAATATTTTCAAGGTAACTTCGATTCGCCATCTTGACATGATACAGTTGTTTGTCCTTTATACAAGGTTTGCCATAGATAATATTGTGATAAGAAATTTAAATATCTCTGCTAGATGTCGACCAAACGAATTGAAACTTTTATCAGTAATAGAGACTTACTGAGACGTTTTTTTTTATACGAGAAACATTAACGAATATTATTTGTAGTTATTAAGATCAACATGAATAAAAATTTATCATTTATTAACACCTTAAAAACATGTTACAGGATGACACGTAGGTGAAATTAGCACGATATTCCTTTAGGAAGTTGTTCCAAATACAAATCGACGAACTCTACTTAATGGTATATTCAGATTCCTCGTATGTTCAAACTATATATTCCTTATATGTCGACTTCAATAAATGAAACGTTATGTATTATATCAATAGTTTTTTTGGATACCATTATCAATTAACTGTATTCTCTCGATCTTCTTCTTCATTTATAAGTTATCTCTATACATATATTCTATATTCCATAAGGTGTCGCTAATCAACATAATCATGTTTATCTTATTTCCTCTTCTTATTATACATTGGCACCAAGAGTGAAAATCTGAAAAATACATTTTGTCGAGCTTCTTCATTTGGCGGAGATATTTATGGGTGACCCTGTATATATATACATATAATTATATTTATCAAACGGAATAACATTCCTTTAGTGAGAGATATTTTAATGTACATTCATAATATGATGTGGTCAAAAACTTTAATTTTCATATACAGGATGTCTCAAAAGTCATTGATGAAAAAAAAACTTGAATATCTTTCCTTATGGCTCGAGCAAACGGGTTGTTGTTTTTATCATTGATAGAAGTACGTTCAAGCTTTATTTTTAAAAATGATGTGAGTGCGGTTGAAATAGAGTACTCACACTCACCCACACAGCAAATATTAATATGTATGTTAGTAAAACAATCTTAAATTAAATAGGATAGAATTTCAGTAAAATGCTAAATACACAACTGTAAAACAAAAAGATTCATGGTTAAAAGATAGTTAATTTTGTTCATGTTTGCACATGTCAGTTAATACTGACAAATGCGGTTTGAACATAACTTGCAGTTGCATACGTCTCAAAACTCAATGTATAAATATGATTCAATGTCATTGTAAACGTCTGTTGCAAGAAATCATAACCTCTTCGACAGTTATCTTGATAACAGTATGATCCATCAAAATTACCATTAACAAGCATCTCAGAATTCGATGCATTTATATCTAACATACTAACATCATCCAGGTACCAAAACCCAACTCTAGTATTAATATTAAACCCGAATTCAAGGACTCCAATGCCACTAAACGGAGCTGTATAATTGTATGTCTGTAGCTGGTAATTTTGCATATTGTTTGTCCAAGACATTATAGTAGAAGTAGGTGTAGCACATGAAGCTGCTGTTAAAAGACTACACAGTAGATATAAATTTTATGATATGATACTCACTTATTGATGCTGTTTTTAATGAACTTGTAGCTATTGTTGATGTTAACATTGTTATACTAGTTGAAACAGTACTTGTTACAGTATTTGATGAAGTAGAAGAAGTGTACATTGTTCTATTAGTCACTGCATTATAGAAGTAAAAAAAATAATTATGTAAATAACTGATCAGATATTGTAAAAACTATAGTTGACTAAATAACTCTAATCCTCTTAGTTTTCCATAAAGTTGTCTGTATATAGTACTCACTTTGTGATGTTGTTACATATGCACTATTCGTTGAACTAATTGCTAAAAGAAAGAAATATTTAAATAATAAAACTATTTAATAGTTCTACAATTAAATTCTTACTAGTTACAATTGTTGTAGTCTTATTCATTGATGTTAACCAAAGTGGAATAACTACACATAAGATTAAACTACCAATGAGAACACCCAAAAGTAAACCTCGGAGACATGTTGGTATAGATGACCAATAGTGCATGAAATTTCCTAATATACGACATCTAAATATAAAGAAAACTATAATGCTATATTAAATCTAATATTATAAATACTTTTGTTTTTCACAATTATTATCATTGAACCATGAATGATTTTGACTTGGTCTTGCAACATTGTTGCTTTCTGTATTAGTTGTTTGTTGTTGATTAGAAATACTATCGTGTTCATCTGACCAAAGACTCAATTGAGGATAAGTTAATCTTGAATTCATCATAGCTATTCAAGTTGTAATGTTCTGTTAGTATTTTATCGAAATTTTATTTGTATTTATATTGAAAGAATCTATAATCGCACTTTTAAAACTTTTTTCTTTTTTAATAATAAATAAGCAAGTCTAGAGCAGCATCACCTTTTTCTTTTAGTCTGTATACATTCAATATTTTAACCACAAAAGGAACACTATATTCTATCTAATATGTATTTGTTTTCATTCATATACATAATAATTATAAAATCTCACCAAGATTTTTATTATTTCGTCAAAAATTGAATTATAAATTTTTTATTATTTTATTTCGTTGAAATAGTCCGTACCTGAATATTGTCAATTTTTGTAATACATTATCTTATATGTAACATTACAATGTTATTATATATATAATGTGGAAATGAAGTTTTTTTATTGTAAAATATTTGAGTCGTATGAAGATATTTTTACTTTCAAATAGTTATGTAGAGTTAGCTTGTATTAACCTTTTTGACATCTATATTATGGTATGAAGGGAAAGTCTGATATGTTTATTTTTTTTTATATAATATAATAGGAAGAAATACGAATATCTTTTTTCAAAATTTTCAAAGCCTTATAAAATATATATGTATGTGGTTATTGAAGATTTACTGACGCAAAAAATGAATGATTATGTTTTGTGAAGTTGTTGAAATGAGAGTAATCTAGATTGATTAAATTTTAAAATGATAATTCAAAACTTTTCTTGTACAATTAATTACTATCTTAGGAAGTGTTTATTATCATACCAGCGAAACGTAGTCAAAACATCAATATGCGTCGTCCACCAGACATTTTGATTCACACACCTGAAAAACGAAACGTGAATAAAATACTGAATTAAATTTATATTAATTGTACATTCAAAAATAAGCTAATTAAAATATAATCTCTATATGAATTTAGTTTCTTTTGTATTGATATTTTCTTAAAAAACCATAATCTTATGTTAGAAATTGTTTTCGATAATAATAATTTTATTTTTTCATGAATGAATTTTGATGATCACATAAAATTTCGTTTATCGTGAAGATTTATCAAAATATTCTAGAGAAAACATTGCTTGAAATAAAAACTATACAGAAATATATACATTTTTTTCCATTATTTCTGAAAATGCAAATTCAGTATTTGATACTAATATGAATCGTTTTTAATATATAAGAAAAGGGTGGTGATTCTTCGAGGAGAAAATAAAAGTTTCAGAAAAAAAAAGTATTTAATGGATCATTAAACCAATAAATGGTAATTTTTTATTCGTAAATAGACAAAAATATTAGATGGATTAGTAATCGTATGACGTTAAAGGTAATGAATAAATATCACATCATTTAAACAAAAATATGAATTAGTAAATACGAAAAAAATATTCTTTTTTTTTGTCATATTAGTGAATAAGATAAATTTGTGCCCAAAATATGAGTAATGCATATGCAGATAAAATAACTACGTCAAAACGAAAAACAACAATTGACGTATAATGATATCTTTTCTATATAAAATATATTTATTCATGCTTGATCGAATTTCTTGACGTATATACATATGCGTCATAGGACAGCAAAAATCAGGGTATATAAACCATATAATAATACGATAAATTTATTTATATTTATAATCGTAATAAAACAAATTTATTATTTCAAATATGGCTGGTTATAACCCTTATCGAAATCAAGCTGTAATGAATGAATTAAAATCTGATATATGGATTGAACAAAATATTCCCGGTGGATTAAATAGTATGTTTTAGAAATAATACCTTTTTATTTATACTATTTTAAATTTTAGGTCCAGTAGGGCGACAATTAGATAATATGTTAGGAGGAAATCCTAATCCAACATACGGCCAAAGATACAATCAAAGTTATGGATATAATAAAGGATATGGATACGGTAATGGATATGGATATGGATATGGTAATGGATATAATAATGGATATAGATATTATTAATATCTTATTTGATAAATGTTATCATATGTGTACATTTTTAAAAAATAAAAAAAATACATTTTTTTTTGTACATAAAAAGTTGATAACATTGGTTTTTTATGATAAAAAATAAATAATTTTTAATAACATGTAAAAGTTTTTGTTTAACTTTATTAACAAAATTATTTTTTAAAAGATAGATTTATTTATTGATGCGAACAAACTTCAATAAGACTCTTAAAAGTTACGTCGTGTGGGTGTGAGTGGATACGAGATGAAGATGATATCAACACCCTCAATTCTCATTATACGTGTTGCTAATTATAGTCATAGAAATTTTTTTATTAAATTAGAAAGAGAACACGTTTGAGCACTTTATTGCTCGCTCGAAAGAAATTATTAATCGAAAATTTAAAAAGAAACTAAAAGAAGGTATCACTATCTATAAAATATCTATCATATTATCGGTATACTAATGAAAAGAATTTATGTATTAAATGATAATGATACTCTCATTTTGTCTGTATTTTATTATTTGCATCTCGGTATGAATTTTTTTCTTGATTATAATCAATAGTTTCAGTAGACTTTGTTTTGTACTTTCTTATGTTTTAACTTTGGCATTTTTACGGTCTTCTTTATGATTCTTTTCTGTGTTAATTAAACAACAAAAGATATGCAAAAAAATACAATCTTGATTCGAGCATTCTTTCATCGGATGATTTTTTTATAGATGAAAAAATAGGAAGGTTTCATTTCAATTATTTTCTATGATTTGTTTTTTTATTGAATTGCACCAAACGAATGATCTTTCTTTATTGATTTCTATGGGATTAAACTAAGAGAAAGAGAGAGAGAAAAAATCATAAATCTATTTGAATAAATACAAAATACATTCATTTCTAAAATATTTCTTTGTGTAATGCATATAAATGTATCACCAACTCCACATCCTCCTCGAATACGACGTGTGAGTCAACATGAATTACAAAGCTTCTTTCCGAATATTAGATCCAATCGCGTTAGTTCAAATTCAACAACATCAATCCGTGTATGTTCATAAATTATTTGAAAATTAAATTATATTAAAATTTTTTCATTTCAGTTATCGCAAGGTTCCGAAGCTTCCCGCTCATCTTTACTGAATCGACAAAGTTTACAACGAGGAAACAACAGCCAATTGAGTCGACAAAGTTGTGGACGGGGAAATAACAGCCAATTAAATCGACAAAGTTTTGAACCAGCAAACAACCGACAATCAAATCAACAGAATGAATCTGAATCAGAAGATATTAAATTGAGAAGGTATTCATTTGTATAAAACTATTTTTTGAAAAATATTTTTATATTTTAACATTAGGAAAAGATCATTCCGACGATGGTGCACTGCTGTGACTATTTCCACTTTATTGATCACATTGGGTGCTATTATTGCAACTATTATACTATTGCTAATGAAACGTGAGTTATTCACTTCTGTCTTTTTCTGTATTATTGATTAATTTTTGAACAGCTATTGTAACAACAACGACTATGACGACAACAGTGACTAGTGTGTATTTTTAATTTTAAATAACAGAATCTAATAATTTATATTTGCAGCGACTACCACATCAACTTCGACTAGCACCTCTAGTACTTCTTCGACCTGTATGTTTTATTTATTATGTAACATTAAAGAAATATAAATATAATATATTCTAGCATCAACATCGACTAGTAGTTCAACATCAACTTCATCAACTAGCAGTACAAGCAGTACAAGTTCAACATCATCAACAAGTAATTGATATTTAAATAATCAATTGCTTATATTTTGAAATATTTGTTTATTTAGGTACATCAACCAGTTCATCAACATCATCAACAACTTCTACTATATCAAGTAAATTAAAAATACTCTAAGATATTACTAGAAATATATAGAGCATTATACATCTCACTAACTACTAAATATATACATAAAACAAAATTTGACTATAAAACCGATAGACTGTACATATCGATGCGTCCGCATTGATAAAAATATTGAGCGTAACGACAAAAATATTTCGACCGATACGACTGTTTCCTTCATTAAAAAATGATGATTTTACTTTTTGCCATTTAGCTACATCAACAACAAGCACAAGTACATCAACATCAACAACCTCGAGTACATCAACAACAACGACCTCATGTATGTCTTTTAAAAGAAAAAAGTTATAACATATGGAAGATTTCGATTTCTTTTAAATATATATAAGAGATAACAATGAGTTTATTATAGAATTGAATCGTCTATTCCGACAACTTTTTCCAGAGATTCAGCTTATTACTTCAGTAGTAAAATTAAATTTTGAACTCAAACTTTAGTGAGTTACTCTTATTTTAAATAAATATTCTCAATCATAGAAGAAACATATCACTAATCCCAGATGGAGCAGTCTTTTCCCATTCGAATAACAGCTAGTTTATTCGGTTTCAATTTAAAATCAAATTTAACTTATTTCTCTAGTGTTTTATATTCATCATATAATAAAGATTTCGGTTAACATCGAACTTTTGTATTGATATATACACAGAAATAGTTTTCTCCAGCTCAACTTCGTATATGAATTTGTTGTTCTTAGCTGATGCTATTTTTATCACTCATAATTTTATAATCAACTCGAATAAAAATAAAGCGCATTCTACTGAAGATACTTATAGAAAACTAAAATAATCATGTTGAAACACTATCTCTTATCAGTAAATTGTTATGAAAAACTCAGTATATCACTATAATTAAGCAAATATAAATATGCAATAGAAAATCGTAGAATGTATGACGAGAATGTGATATTTTATTAACATTTTTCTTGACATCAATAAAATGAAATGAAATTACCCATTTGTTTTAGCATCTTCATCAACATCAGCAACTACATCAAGTGAGTATCGACTGATAGTGAAATGTATATCTTATTGTATCTCTATTCTCTTGATTGTAGCTTCTACAACTACAACAACACAAAATCCAATAATCGCCTCTGTAAGCGAAAGCAATATAACAGCGGATCGATGGAGCTTGATCAGATGTTCTTACTTGGCAGCCATATCAGCCAATCTAACACTGGTATTTACTCTTGACCCAGCCCATAAAAATTATTGGTATATGGATGATATGTCTGTAAAAGATCCAACATCAGTAGAAATGCTGACAAACGGTAATTTAGAGACCAGTCCATTACTGACTGGATGGAGTACAGTATGTGGAACTATATCTAGCACTCGTTCTAATTCATCGAGCCACTCTTATTATGTCGATTATTCCTCGTGTAATTCTGCATCGATCTCACAATCATTTGCTGCCATCGGTGGTCAAGTGTACATTGTTACTTTTTGGCTTTATCTCGATGATACTCCCTCTGGTAGTAATGGCAACCCTACTGTGGTTGCGACAATGAATTAATCGTTTTTGAGATGTTATATTTGTTACACAATACAAGCATCATAATCCATATGACATTAGCTATGAAATAGTTGACATCAAAATTTCTTCTTTAGTTGCACATTAGTTTCATTTTAATAATTCTTATATATGCTTATTTTCTATACATTTTTCTGACTTAAATATATCATATTACTCCACGAAATAAATCGTAAGAGTGGGTTGTGGTTGTGTGTGGGTACCACAAATATAACACACTCACATCCGCACCTACCGATACCCAACTACCAACACCCACACTCACACCTTCAACATTTTTTAGTTTTTATTTAGTATTAATAAATCAGTGTGGGACCTAAAACTATTTTTCAAAAAGTTGATAGTTGACAAAATTGGCAAAAAGTTAAAACAGTTATAACTAGAGTTATAACTATCAACCGCAGTTATAACCTCCAACCGGAGTTATAACTATCAACCGCAGTTATAACCTTCAACCAGAGTTATAACTATCAACCGTAGTTATAACCTTCAACCAGAGTTATAACTATCAACCGTAGTTATAAC